CAGATATAGAAAATAATTAAAAATACGTTAAACGTGAATTTTAAAAAAAGATGTCTAACTCGCATTTTTTTAAAAAAAATTCAATTATTTCATTAACATTTATTATTTTTGCGATACAAATTTCTCAATATAATTTTTATCATTTTATTAGGAATATAACATCAAAAAATTTCGAAATTTTACATCCAAAAAAATTGTATCCCATGTAAATTTTCGGATGCAAAATTATACGGGTATGATTTTTTTTAACGTAAATTTTCGATTGTAAAATTTCTCCCAATCTTTTTTACAAGTTCAATTGTGCCCCTAACTTTGAAACTCTGCGTCCGCCTTTGTTTGTAACATTATTGATTAGGCAGAAACATGTCTACGAAATTATTGAATCTAGGACTACAAGTGGTCTTCTTGCCTCCTATGTTTTCATGTCAATGGCATGTCAGTCTGAATTGCCTTTGAATGCTTGTTTGTTTTATAATTTGCCTTTATCAGACCATAATTTTGTATTGCATCTTCTATATACTTTAAAATTTTCAACACTATCCCTTCCAATTTTGTTGGTTTCCCTAGTGCCAAAGATGGTCGGTTTGGCAAAATGCCTACTTAATTTCAGGAAATGGGACTCTCTTTTGTCGGCACAATTAGTTGAAAAAACGATATCAATCAAGACCTTAATACAGAATTAAACGGTTAATGGTGACGAATCATATCATCCACAGTTCAAATTAGCAACAACAATATCTCCGGTAAGATGAATCACAATCTCTCGTTCTTAATCGTGATTTAATATATGTTTCATAATCGTCTGAAAATTTTAGAAAATGAAGTGTCCGATTAAATTATGATTTATATGATAAAAAGATAATAGGATGATCCAATATTTAAGGACCATTATTAAAAATTATTTGTTCAAAATATTCAATAACTCTGTTTATAATTATGTTTTGATCCGTTAATTACCTGTGCAGATATTAAATGGTGAGCTTAATGCACTTCACAGTCAAATAATTTTCACAGTTGGAACCACTGAGGTGGTCGATTTTGTTTCTATAAGAAAAAATTATTGATGATGATGAAAATATTTTGCAAGTCGAAGTCGAGCATGAGAACAAGTCATGTCAAGCTCGACATGAAACCCTAATTTGAGCTGAAAGAAATATACGAGTCGAGCCAACCTCACACGGTCCATTTTAGACCTCTAATTTCTGGTAACTTAATATTGTACCACAATCAATATATCAGAAAATAGAAAATAATCAATTTACTTTCAAAAATTCTCAAAAATACAAATTCCTCACTTTTTGAATCCTTAAAAATGCTAGAATTGACTTCACCAGTGAAGTTAACTACCAACTTAAATCCATTGTTTCTCATATTTTGAGGTTGTTCTTTTCAGCAATCTCGGGATGAACGAACTGAACTCATCACTGGCCAGCATTACGAGCTTGCAACCTCTTCCTTTCGAGCTCAAGCTGAACAGAATAACAAATAGAATAAATGAGGTGAATGCAAGAATAAGTCTCGTACTAGGGGCCATTTCGGCAAGGCTTCTGCTTCAATTTTTTTTTTTTTTTTTTTAAGTACTTTTTGAAGAAGTGTCATTTTCCTCTAAAAGCTATTTTAATCGGACAGAAATTATATGAACTATCCAAACAAGAACAAAAGCAGCTTTTTAATCCTATAAGCAGTTTTTGACTTTTCAAAACCCTGCCAAATGGGCGGCCCTAAAATAACATTCAGAATAACTTAAGTTTTAGGGTTTGGGAAGTATCTTACCACTTTCCGAACACGTTCATTGGCAGAAGGAGTTCCTCCAGTAACAGATTCAGGAAGATATGGAGCGCTAACGCGCACTTCATTCATCACAACTATGGTGGTCTTGTCCCAACAAACAGGAAGCCTGGTTTCAAGAACAAGGGCATAGTCGTCAAGAAACAAATTAATTAAGATGGAATTGTATGTCAAAATAATGTCGTACTACAAAACCAATTACAGCAATCAGAATCGATTCCATCAAGATCAACAAAGTCTAACAAGACACAAACTTGATGTAAGAAGAGGAGCTCAGAGAGATCCATTTAAAATTGGATATCAAGTTTCTGTTACTGGATTGAAGATGACCATCTTTTTTCCCGCATATCGAAACAATTTAAAATAGAAAATTTGTGAGTCACAAATTCATGCAATCTAAAACAAAGCACTGGTATAAAACGAATATGTTATACAGAATTACGACTAGCTATAGCTTCACCAACCAGAACAGTAACTGCAATTGGTCCTAAAAGATGCAAATGCATACAATAAACATTTATTCTCATACACCGCAGACAAAGCAGTTTATAGCCACCATCTGAGTCATCGAAATATAGGCGTTCCCACAATTTTGTTCTCGTCATATGAATTGCTGGACATGGAGTAACTTTAAGAAATGTATGATAATAAATTATGTACCCCTATAAGCCAACAGAAAAAAGAAGGTGAAAAGTACATAAGCCTACATAAAAAGACTCCTTTAGTGAGGAGATAGAAGAGGGTGTATTTGAGTCATTTGGTATATGAGAGGAAGGTGCATCACAAGTAAAAGAACGAGAGATAATGACTCGTTCTTACTAGGATATCTTCATTGAAGGCCAGCAATTGCAATAATCAGTTCCCATCACATGAAATTTCAAAGATTAACCCCAAGACTATAAACTCATTGAATATATCAATCTAGTTCACATGCAGCCCAAACTTCTACTGCCTGAAAGGTTGTAGTCTCTTTAAGACGCAGGCCAAAAAAAGGTTAGTCAACATAGTGAGTAAGGAGGTCTCGCTCATTAACTGAAATAACCAGACAAATCTCTCCATTTCTTGACAACATTACAGCCTATATTTGTGCGTGGACGAAATCATCGCTATCCTATGCCGGAAAGGCTGAACTTGTGAGATCCGTGCTTAAAGGTGTTGAGTGTTTTTGGTTGTCTATCTTCCCGATCCCACCTACGGTTGCTTCGAGAATCATTAGACTATGATGGAACTTCCTTTGGGGATCCAAAAAGCCGTTGATTGCTTTGAAGAATGTTTGCCTACCGAAATGTGAGGGTGGACTTGGTTTTATGGATATAAAAACCCAGAATCTAACATTGCTTGCAAAGTCCCTTTGGAACATCCACAAGGACACTCTTTGGGTACAATGGGTCAATCATGTTTATCTCTGCGGGACAACTATTTGGAATGTTTCGCCTAGACAAGATGACTCACGGCTGCTCAAAAAACTGCTGGAAATTAGGGATGTATTGACACAGCCTGAAGGGGACGTTCAAGCAGCACAGGGCAGATTTACTGAGTGGACTGCCGGGAATCAGTTTTGCATAGCCAAGGTGTATGATTTCTTTAGGCCGAAAGGGAGTAACAAGACATGGTCTGGAGATGTTTGGAGGTCATGCATAACTCTGAAACATTCGTTCATCTTGTGGTTAGGTGCCCAATCAAAGCTCCTAACCAAGGACAGGCTGCTGCACTTTGATATTGACAGAAATTGCATCCTTTGTGGTTCACAGGAGGAAACGATCCAGCATATATTCTTTTAGTGTTAAGTCAGTTCGTGCACTTGGGGGCAAATTAAAGCTTGGCTGGGCATTACTCATTCACTGACTAACATTGGGAGTGCTTTGAAATGGATCAAGAAGGAGGCACGAGGAACAACGTGGCAAAGCAAGGCCAAGAGAATTGCATTGGCCAGTATTGTTTATCACCTTCGGACAACCAGAAACAGGATGATTTTTAAAGATCTTAGATCACGTTCCGATAGTATTGTAAAACGGATCAAAACACATGCATACAAAGTTATGCTCACATTGTATCCTCATATTTTGATTCATTTTTAATCTTTAGCGTTGGGTCTTTAGATCTTATTGCATGTACATATTTTGATCTTGTGAGCCCGGGTATGCCTAGAGTACTCGTATATAAGTTTTGATCAAATGCAAATTTACATTTACCGATCAAAAAAAAAAAAAAAGGATAAGCTCTAAGTCTAAATCATACAAGAAACCCCTTTAATCTGTCAATTTTTTCAAGATTGAAGATAGTATAAAATAACCTATATAAGAAGAGTATGAAATGATTATGGTCATGGAGAGAAGCACCAACCACAACTACATTTCTAATGATTCTCAGTTGGGCATAAATTATGCAGACAAAATTGAGTACCTGTTGTCCACTTGAAAATGAGAATTCCACATTGAGTATCCTTGAGACTTTTCATTGGATAAAATAAAGTTATTATATTGAAAGAGGTTGGTTTCAATCATTAATTATTCATCATCACAGTGTATTTGGAATTCCATAATCCATATTTCAAAATGTAGATTGCTTTCATTTAAGAAAGAGCAACATATAATCATTTTTGGCACCACATTAAAAAGATAGACAGGATGAACAGGTGTTCATCATCACGACTACAAGCAGGCAATATCTCTACCAAAAATAATCAAATGATTTAGAAAATTAACAAGTTTCTAGTATCTATGTCGAACAATTAACAAATTGAGCTAACACAATAACAATCACTAAAGAAGCACGATCTCATTATCAGCTTTGATGTTGTTATTATTTAGTTAGCCTAGCAATAGACTAAATGTTCAGAAAGCATGCTTTAATTCTCATGTTGAAAATGCATGGACAAAAGCAGACAAGCAAATAAAACATAGGACTACAGCAACTTGACAGAGCATTATATAATGCTGAATCAAAGAAAACCGTGTGAGGTAGATCACTACATCAAGTTGACAAAGTACTATAGTTCGGGAGTCTTGTAAATAAGAACATATCATCCTTGAATTCTAATAATTTTAAGTGCTGATGCGCATCTTGAACAATTTCAATACGGATATTTACATCATTATACTGTATAGAATATAGCTAAATGTTCAAACTGCATCCTTTGATTCTCTAGTTGAAAATGCATGGACAAGAGTAGACAATGTATAAAACATAGGACTGAACCAAGTCGACAAATTACTATATAAAACTGAATCAAGGAACACAACAGAAGTATGTCACTACATCAAGTTCACAAAGTACTAGAGTTCAACATCTCTTGAAAATCAGAATCTGGTCATCCCCGAAGATAAAGGTCAAAATATATCAAGATCAAGGTCAAGCTTAAAACAAGAAGCCGAGCTCAATAAGGAATGATTTTATAGTAAAGCATAATAACTTAAGAAAAATGCAAACTATACAAGGCCTATTGTTAGTAATAAGAATTCTTTTCGTTGCTCGAACTATAACTCCGTTGGGCAATTAGCAAGGTCAAAATGGACAATGATCATAGCATTAAACACCAATCCGATTTGTTCGCAATGACATTTTACCACTTTGCTTCTCTTCATCAGGAAATACGAGGTCCTATACTCATTTCTCTAACACCCTCCTTACTCGATCAAACAGCATAAAATTCCATCGATTCATCTATGTCTATTCAGTTTAAACTAAATCAAGATAGGGTCAATGTGCTCAAAAGAGGTAGCCAGAGGTTGGCTGGGAGCTCTGGAAGGCAACAAAACTAAAGCTTTACACAGGTACGCTTGCAACTTATAGCAAGTCTTATTTGGTGGATATACCATTGCAAGAAAATTAGGGAAGAACTACTATTCTTATCATTGGCTCATTGAAAAAACAAACATCATAAAATAGGGAAGATGCACATTACGTTTTAGACAGAGCATCGAAAACACTCTGGCCATCAGCAGTAACGCCCACTCCAATCCTCTCTGCCTCTGCCTTCGCTTGTCTGCAATGCAATTCAGACACGACCCACAAAATAAACGCACAATCAAACACCAAAAAGGCCAAAACCCATAAACAACGAAAAAAAAAAAAAACCCCACAAAAATCACTATAGAATACGTATCAATATTACAAATTTACCCACAAAATCACGAAAAAAACTTATGAAAATGCATAAAAGGGTATGCCAAAAAAAAAAAGAAGAAGAAGAAATCGGAACTTTACCTAATAGCTGAGTCCTCTCGGGCTTGAACGGTATTGAGATCAAGAAAACACTTATTGGGATCAAGAGGATCCTCACCTGGACCCAAAAAAGTGAATTCTTTCACATAATTAGCCTTGAGTAATCTTATATTCCTCTTTGACCCTGGCCCAGATTTCACTCCCTCTTGTATTTTCCTATCCAAAGTTAAAGAACTATCTAAAAAATAAATAAATAAACAAATAAAGATAACAGAAAATTCAAATCTCCATACATTTAAATATAACTTAAAAGTCTGAGTTTTTAAAGGATATGAAGGATGAGGAGGTTTAAGGGGCCGTCAAAGGCGATGACTTGGGCTTGGAATTCTTCTTCAAGAGTGGTTTTAATGGATAGTATGCAGCCAACTGCAAATTCGTCCCCATGAGTATGAGGTTCCATTGATATATTGGTGATTTGCGCCTCAATTGATTCTCTTGGATTATGGAGGAAGAATGTTATTTAACGGATTAATAAAACTTTTCTTTATTCAATGACCCTTTTTGTGATTTTTGAGCTTACAAGAGCTTCTTTCATTTATTTATTATTTTATTTTTACAGGTAGACGGAATTTAATTAGGACCAAAAATAGTGAGATTTTTTGCTTAAAATAATTAACTTTTCAATCAATCTTTTATAATTTAAAATATTTTTTCTATTTAATGAAATAAAGAAATGTCTCTTCTTTATTTATTTTTTTATTGCCTTTATTTAAATCTGAAGATTTTTCTGATAAATTCAAGGAATTGGAGCTCTGATCTGTGATAAATTCAAGGAGGGGAAGCTGTAATTGAAGCTGAAATTAACAGGCAGAAAAATGACATGAAGAAGTAAAGGGATAAAAAAGGGGATAGGCCTGTGGAAGCAGGGAAGATGATGAATATTCCATTCATTCATGCTCAAGGAAATTACAAGGCAACTAATCTATTTATAGAGAAAAAAGCTAACCAATTATCTAACAAACTAACAAGATAACAAACATAAGAACAATCTAGAATAAGTTAGAATCAACTGGAAGAAGAAGCTGCTGAATCTGATGTTGAACGTGTGCTTCTGGTTTTGCTAAACTGGAGTGAATGGTTTGAGTTAATTGGAGAGAATGGTGGTGAACTGAAGAACACGTGAGCTGCTGGTGAACAAGTGGAGGAATATTCCAACACTCCCCCCTCAAAATGGAACATCTTGAACCGTAGAGAAAGAGAGTAGAGATGCAATTAAGGAGCATCTTATTTCGAATCATTTTCAATTTCCTTCAATTCCATTTGTGGTTTAAAGCTCCATTTTGAGCTACTTTTCTCGTTAATCTTCCTTCTCTTTTGAGAATGAAATCTTCAAAATCTTTCTTCATATCTTCATTCAGAAGATAAAATCATTCATGAAGATCTGAGAAGTTGCCATCCTAGCAGGTTCGATCTTCAATTTCCGATTTCAATTCCCTATCTGGGAATTTCAGTCATGTTCCGACATTTCGTCGAACATCTAGTGAGCCAAGCCACTAATCTTCAATTTCTGGTTTCAATTCCCTATCTGGGAATAAATCAATCATTTGTGAAGATCTGATATATCTTCAGTTTCATTTCAGTTCTGTTTTGATTCCCTATCTGGGAATAAATCACATTCACTCTTGTGAAAATCTGAGAAGCCTGCCTTTCACGGGAGGTTCTATCTTCATTTTCGGTTTCAATTTCGTTTTCCTTCATGTTCTGTTATTGCAGGTTTTATTTCTTCTGCTGGTTCTGTTTAGTGAGCCAAAGTGTTGAGAAACTACTCGAGACAAGAGTATAGAACTGGAGGCAGGAGCCATTCTCGTGCATATATCATAGATCCTGATAACTGGTGGTACTTGGCGTGGACACAATTTATTCTGCTATGGGCAGTGTAACTTCTTTACTCCATTAGAGTTTGCATTCTTCAGCGGCCTGCCGGAGAAATTTTTCCTTCGGGACTCACTAATCTGTTCTTCTGCTGGTTCTGTTTTTCTGATTTCTGGATTTTTTTTCATTTTTTTTTTTTTGTTGGTTTTGATAGATTCAATATAGAAAAGAAAAAGAAGAAGATGAATTTCAGATGGTAGGATCATAAACCCGCTCTGATACCATGATAAATTCAAGGAATTGGAGCTCTGATCTGTGATAAATTCAAGGAGGGGAAGCTGTGATTGAAGCTGAAATTAACAGACAGAAAAATGACAGGAAGAAGTAAAGGGATAAAAAACGAGATAGGCCTGCTGGAAGCAGGGAAGATGATGAACATTCCATTCTTTCATGCTCAAGGAAATTACAAGGCAACTAATCTATTTATAGAGAAAAAAGCTAACCAATAATCTAACAAACTAACAAGATAACAAACATAAGAACAATCTAGAATCAACTGGAAGAAGAAGCTGCTAGTTCTGCTGTTGAGCGTGTGCTTCTGGTTTTGCTGAACTGGAGTGAATGGTTTGAGTTAACTGGAGAGAATGGTGGTGAACTGGAGAACACATGAGTTGCTGGTGAACAAGTGGAGGAATATTCCAACATTTTCATTCTTTAGTTTGCAAAAAATCAGGCAAAGATATTTGAGAAATGTTGAAAATGGTCTTTTGTAATGCCCAAAGTGAAAAATGCTCACTTCTAAACTTTTAGTCCCAAATATTGAGGTTATTTACACTTTCATCAATTATTCTACTTGTACAGATAATTTTTTACATATATTTGTTCTTGATTTGAATTCTTATATAAAAATCTTGTACATGTAGCAAAATTATACTTTCAACTTCAACCTTTTCTTCTAGACAAATGCATTCGTTCAAATAGATGGATGGATTTCCTTAGTCAATCATAGGGTTGGACAAAACACGCAAATCGAATCAGATCTGAATCGAACTGAATTAAATCGAACGGTTCTTCATAAGTTAAATACGCAAACGGTTCGAGAATCGACTGGTTTGATTCAGATCTAAATAATTTTTTATATTGAATTAATTAAATTATTTTAATTTTTTCTAAACAAATTAGTAAGTTAACTAATTTAGTGATTATTGTTCCAACTCCCAAGCCAAGTCCATACCTAGCTAGCCCAACCCAACCCAACCCAACCCAATTTCTAAATTCAATTTTTTGGCCAATAATTAATTACATTGTTGGCCCAAGATCTAGACCTTTTACGTTTTTATCCTTCCTTTTTCAGTTTCATATTTTCATTCAGTAACCACTAGTTCACTAACTCTAAATCATTTAATAAATTGAAAACCTACATTTACATGCCCAAATCGAAGCCACCGACTGTCGAGTCCTACTTTCCCCTTCCAACTATCCATTGAAGTTGCTACGTTCGATCGTTGACCATTAAAAATCTGCTTTTGGCATTAGTTTGTACCATTTTGTTTTCATATATGCATGTAAAAATGTCTATCTACGTAAATTGTTGATGTTATTAAGATTGTCTCTGTGTGTATGTGTTGTGTGTTCTTCTTTCGCTCCCATAAGATGATCCGAAGAGATATGTGCATAATATTTTGATATTTTTGGCATTATGACTCATTTACCCTGTTTCAAGAAACTAGCAAGTCATTTGCCTTTTCAATAGGAGGAAAACATAGTCGAGAAGAGAGAAGATATTATTAACCTAAACAAGATCCAAGAAGAAAATGCATTGATTATTCATTAATCAAGACATGTGATGGCTCAAATGTCTTAGCAGATGCTTTTAAAATATTTTAATTATTGCGAAAAACGTTTACATGTTATTTTTTGGCATTTTCACTTTTAATTACACATTTGATTGCGCAAATCATTATTTCTATCTAATTTCTCAATAAAGAGCCATGAAATGATGAATATACCTCATATTTAAATAAAGAAGTTAAAGAATTAATTACAACAATAGTCCCAATTTTTTTAAAAAAAGTACAAACGAGTCCCAAATAAATTATTAGAAATTAGTTTTTAAAAAAAAAAATGCAATCAATTTCTAATTAAATTTATTAAAAATTAAAAAGTGCAAAAGAGTCACATATAGGAGGGTGTATTCATCATTTCAAAAAAAAAAAAAAAATGGATGAAAATGGATATAAATGATGGTTTGCTCAATCAAATGTATAATTAAGAATGAAAATACCAAAAAAATAATATTTTGTACAATGAAAGGCGGGGAAACAAGGGTGAAAATGTCCAAAAATGAAAGATGATGATATTTTCCACAATAACAGTGAAAGATGTGGACATTATGTGCTAATTAACCAACAACAAAATTTGAAGAACTTTGCATAATAAAATAAGTTATTTTATTGTCACATAATATGTCAAATAAATTCAATCCACTAATGAAAAATAAATTCATCGATTTTAAAAATAAAATTATGATTGCAAAATAATTTTAAACTAAATGCTAAATATTGAAAGAAAATAAAATCATTGATCTAGCAACATGGACTATGTCAACAGTTTCAAGCTCCAACTCCGATCAATCAAGTATCTGAAAAATATTTTAAATATAAAATAGTATAAAAATACACTGAATATAGATTTAATGTCAATATTTCACATTTTATATAAAAAAACAAGTAAATTAAGCATATTACATAACTTTTCTAGTGGGATATAAACTTGACCGTTTCATTCTCACTTAGGTTATACCCATTTCTAATCTCTATTTAGGATATTTAGCCCTATAACTGATTTTTCTGTAAATCTACATAATACTTTATGTTATTATCCACAAGATTCTTCTTTAATTTGTATCAAACAATTGCACATAAATTACTTAAATTAAAACATTAAAAAGTGAAAACATCAAACTACTTGTCATTTAGAGAAATCCATACCTATTCGTTAATTTTTTTGTATATTTGAACTACTCATGATTGAAAATTCTTGCAAACGGATCTCGTACGCGTCGAAAAAAATAATAAATTCTTTTCTTCTTATCGTAAACAATCCTATAATGCATAGAATTCAAATTTAAGAAAAAACGTAACTAAATTAATATAAAGTTCTAGTGTGAATATATACAAATTTTCAAGTTTTATCTAATCACTTTATATCAAAATATCCGATAATAATTCAATAGATATTGAAATAATAAATTGCAATTTCGTTAAAACTCGTATTTCCAATTATTAGAATATTAGCGCAAGGTTCCTAGAAAATGGTAAAGTTGCTAAGTTATCCTAAATTACTCAAAACTTGCTTTTTAATATATTGTACGTATTTTTGGGGTATTACAATATGAGAGATTTTATTTGAACTTTGTTATTTATATTTTTCATTAAAAATTCTCCGAAAGTCCAGTAAATAGAGAATTTCCAAAAGTCACTATCTATTTGAATACTCAACGACTTATACGGACTTCTAAAATGTTTCAATTAAATATTCCGTAACTTTTAAAGACTTTTTAGAAGTCTACAAAAGTCCCAATTAAATACACTTCAATTTTTAGTGAGTCTTTAAAAGTCTTAATTGAATATACCTAAACTTTTTAAATTTTCGAAAATTTTTAAAAGTCACAAATAAATACACCCCCCTTATTAAAGGTTGAACCCCAACCTTGAGGGCCCTGCCCCAGCTCCTAGAGTATAGTGGAGGAGATAAATCGGGGGATGTGCCTCAACAGACCATGGTATAAGAGCTGACATACTGGTGTCCATAAAGAGTCAAATTTCATACTTTGTAAGAGACAGGAATCGAACCCTCACACTGCGACTACCAGCTCAGTTGAGACTACCTCACTCTTATCATTTGCACCACTGAACTATGCATCGGGGGGCAATACACCCTCCTTACTAGTATCGTGATCGCATTGTTTTAGAGATATCGTGTCTCTCGAGCATCCCCAAGACGACCCTTCTACCAAAATTAACACTGATTGTTCTTACGGACTAATTGGACACTTACTTCACAAAAGATCAACAATTTTGGAAAGCTTTAATGTTCGAATTAGATTGGATCTTGATTCTTGAGATTCTAAGGCCCCTCTTCCCAAGTGTAACTTAGGTTGCGCTGGACGAACATCTATATAGGCATGTTGATCTAAGATAGAATGGGATGAATCAAGTGATCTCGTACTTGAAAGCGTTTTTTATGTATAAGACTTCATAGTTTAAGGGGGTGTTTATTTTTTATTTGAGAATTGATTTTCAATTCTCATTTTCAACCATAAATCAATTCTCATTTTCAACCACACATTCTTCAATAAAATAATATTTTCTATCACATCAATAATTTTTTCTTCTTTTTCAACCACACATTTCCCATCATATCACTATTCAAAAATCAATTCTTCCCCCAAAAATCCCTACTAAACAAGCTCTAAATAACGCAACACATTTTGATACATTTATCACTTGTCATATGACTTATTTTTTACGTGTCGAATGATTCAAATTTAATGAATTCGACGCATTTTAATGACCCTCCCCTTTAGCGTGTCTTGATCAAAGGAGTACATAATATATAAACGGGATGTATTTTGGCATTGAATATTCAAATTTTGGATAAAAAAATTACCCAAATTTATAACAAATCTAACTACCAAGTGAAAGTAAGAAAACCTCTATTTGTCAATCGTCATCACATCGCAGCTTCAACCCTCTTACTCTCTAATGGCCACAACTGTCTCTCTCTCCATCTGCTTAGATAACCATCCCCACCGCCGCCTCCACCGCCGCCGCCTCTACAGGACAACCATTCACTCCTATTCCCACCAATCACCATTCTTCACCCCTAATCACCGGCAACCTCAACACACTTGTGTCAACTTCCCTAAACACCCCCATCGCAATTTCACCCTCACACTTTCATCCTCTTCTTCTACCTCATCTTCCTCATCAACACTCCAAAACCCCCTTCCAACTGGACGTTTTCTCACCAACGAAGAGCTCGAAAAGCTCGAAAATCTCGATAAATTCACCTACCACCATGAATTGCAATCCGGGCTGCTTTTAGTGCGTGTGATGCGTGAAGAAGAAATGGACATGGCAGTGACTCTACTGGCGGAATCCTTTGCGGAATCGATGATGATAGCAAAGGGGTATGTGAAATTGCTGGAGTTTCTGGTGAGGAATTACTTGATTGAGAGGAGGGCAATGATGCCTCACAGTGCAACACTTCTGGGAATTTACAGAGAAAATGAAGAAGAAGATTTCGAATTGGCAGGGACTGTAGAGGTGTGTTTTGATAAAAGGGGTGCTAATACCAATCCCCCAACACCAACCCCTCCCAAAAATTCGCCATATATATGTAATATGGCTGTAAGGAGGCCACTTCGGAGGTATGTATTTCAACAAGAATTCTCTTTGTTACTGAATTTTTGTTTCGAATATGAATTTTTTTGTGTTTCTTAATCTTGTGGAGGGCTGAACAATCCTATTGATTGGTACCTAATTAAGTAGAGACAAGCAACCCTTCGTCTTCATATAGACTGCAACATGATTGCTACGGATCTAGTGTCTTTAGATCTTCTGGTTCTAGTAATAAACTTACTAGAATGGCATCATGTAACATACTCCAAAATTGTTAGGATCAGTGCTTTAGTTTGTTGTAGTTGCTTTTTGTTATGAATAAATGTTATTCATCAGAAGTGGCGATGAACAACAGGTTATGTGATAGTGGGGCTGCTGTCATGTTGTCCAGTGAAGTTGGATGCAATTTTATTCATTCGACAATATGGCAAATTGGCAATGAGCCCACATAGACCGTTGATCACCACTGCTGCCCATGAATAGCATACTTGTTTGTTAGGATACACTTAAGATAGTGAGCTTCTCTCACATTTGGAAATGTGTAACATAGCTTATTTCTAATTTGTTTGGTAGTGCTTTAAAGCGTTTGTGGATAAAAGTGGGTAGTAAGTTGTTGGTGATACAAAATGTGTGGATAAAAAGTAAGTTTATCATCTTAAATTAATTTTAGCTTCGCCAAACATGCATGATTCATATTTCACCCAGCAGCTTAAAATTCTGACACAGGATTTTGCGCACTTATCTCTATACATTGTCGTGCAAACTCTATCACAGCAATGTAGAGATTATGCTGAAATGTTAGCTTGGAGCATGCAACATATCTAGGTGGTAAATGAAGAAATGAAGAGCTTAAGTTCATTTTTTCACCCTTTGAGATTGCGACCTAGGGATCCGAGCTAAGGCAATCTTATCTTGTTTTTCGTTTTAAAATTTCTGGGATTTTCATTCAGCGGAACATTCTTGTCCCCAAATTTTATTATTATAGACAGATTGTTATTTCTCATGTTTCAGAAAAGGAAAAAAGACAGATAGTTGTTTCTTAATTTTCGATGATCTGAATTCTTGGATCGATCGTATTTCTTAGGAGGGGCATTGGCTGGCATCTGTTGAAAGCAGGCGAAGAACTTACTTCACAAATGAGTTCCTCAAGAGAGGTTTACTTGCATTGTAGAGTAATCGACGAAGCTCCGTTCAACATGTATACAAAAGCAGGGTATAGTGTTGTTAAGACAGACAGCCTATTGACCTTGTTGACATTCCAGAGACGTAGGCACTTGATGCGTAAAGACCTTCCTATCCTCTATCATGCTTCTGAAATGGATAATCCTGACGAGACACCTCCTTCGTGAGCCTTACGTATAAATGGATATGGAGATGGAAACGTACTATCAAGGTAAAGAGTGCGCTTTTGGCTCTATATATCCTTATTGTGTTAGCAAATTTCCCACAATTAACGGCTTCCACTGGTGCATTACTGTTGTACAATGTACATGATCCCGGAAATAGAATATATGTACAAATTTTGTGCTTTCTCGACCTTGAGATTTCGTTCGCTAATGAATGTCATGTAATTTAATTTGACCTTTTTTGCTAATCATTTATTCAAAATTCGCATAATCTAAGTTCAACTCAATGTGGTCAAGTGTGTGCTTGAAAGTCAAGTTATACTCTACTTTCGCTTTACTTTTTCTAACCGTGTTCAAGCGACGATGCCAATAGATTCATTTGTTCTCTTAAGACTGAAGGGATGATTGAAGTGCAAAAAGTTTATATATTTTGACAGCATTGCTGTTTTTGAAAGTACATTGCATACTTGTGCTAAGCTTGGTCTTGAATCTTTATTGTTTGTCTCGAAGTTTGAAGAATAGCGTTTTGTTAATGATATCGAACTCATCTGTACAGTATATACACTATTCTGGTCTTAGTCTTTGGCGGTCCTGCTATCAAATTTGAAAGAAATGTGTATGAAATGTTGTTGCTGTGCCTTATTTTGTTTGAACAGAATGAAACTCGATGCTTTTCGTTTCATCTCAAGTGCATGAATTGCCATCACAGTACTTGGGATTTTGTATAATGAATTAGTTGGAGTTGTTTTATGCATTCGGTATTTGAGGGTCTCCCTCGACTTTCTATTTGAACACAACGTGATACTAAAACTTCAAAAATAGCTACTTATTCTATTGTGTATGAACCACCCGTCAATTTCCTGGTCATTGAATATATGCATAACGTGTGGGATTTCATAGGAACCCTACAACAATGATATATTCAACTTCACTAGCGCTTAACATCAGACTACGTCACAGTGATGCTAAACACTAATGGAGGTTGATAGAATTACTATGATATATTTCCATTATCTATAGTTAAATAAGGTGAAATTAGACATCTTTCGTCTAAAGAAAGTGAAATGTTAATTATTGTTCACTTTGACTATAAGAGGTCTATTATGAGAATCTTTGATTTTCTTGGAAAATTGCGCAGTGCGGAGTAGACATGTAAACATGTTCAGTGCTTGTTTGATAAAAAAAATCTGAAATTTTATAACTTTTATTAACTTAACCACACAATACATCAACTTTTATCAAAAATCGCTAAATTTTTGTTTGTCAAAAGCTTTGTAAAATAACCTTGCAACTTTAAAACTCTTTTCTTGAGTAGTTAAAACTGGAAAATATAAAATAAAATAAAAAAGTTGTGCAAATCTAAAGCACAAAATTTTAAGTGAAAATTACGGTTATAGTCCTCAACCTTGATCTCTTTTACACTTATTATTCTCAACCTTCGTTCTTTATCGTACTGTCCCTGGTCTTCTATGCACTCTCACCATCCGTATTGACAGGGAATTATTTATTTATTTAAAAGGTCCGTAAAGTGACAACAAACAAAACAAAAGAACAAAGAAAACAGAAAATCCTTAACCTTCTTCTCCACGCTCTCATCACACCCCGTGTGCCACCACCAACCGCCCACAAGTCCCGACCACTGGAAGCCACTCAACTCAACTCCACTCCCAAGCCCCTTCCTCCCCAGTAAAGTTTTTATAATTTTTTTCTTAAAATGAAGTATCAATAATGATTAAAAACTTGGCATGATTTTTGCTTTACTTAAAGTGAGTTGAATATTGAAGTGGATACCCCTATTCTAATATCAAGAATTCAAGATTATCGGTTCACATCTATTCCTTCACACTTCACACTTGATAGTTGCTTTGAGACTTTCAACCTTTGTACGCAGACTTGCTTTGTAGACTTGACTCGCCATAGTTCACCAACATATGCATTTGAATTTTGCTGCAATTGTGCCACTCAAATGAATGAGGCCGTAATATGTTAGCTGTATACAGCTTTATCATCTTCTAATTGAGAACCACAGTTGAAAACAAAATATTCGCACCCTCGTACCTTTATAGCTGCTGATTTGGAGAATAACCCGGAAGATCTAGAAGTTGAAGGTTCATAGTGGGGTAAAACAAACAAAGAGGATTAAACATGTACAACAAGAGGTACTCTTTAGTTTGTTTTTTAACCATAAAGCCTATGTGGATCCTGGATTGGATTCTATCGGGTGTTGACATGAACACATTGCTCAACAACTTATTATGATTTTGTAGTTTATTAATCTGTTTCTTGTGTTGTTGAATTAGAAGCAGACAGGTGGAGTGGTTAGGAGGCAAAGCGCTTGATTAAACGCATGGCAATGATAACAGTGAAACTGGTGCTAGAGAAGTTAGCATCCATGCTTGCAAGCAAGATTGCTTAATGGACTGCGCGGAGGAGTTGATGAACTATGCGATGAATTGGAGAGCATAAAAATCATTCCTCCAGGATGCAGAATTAATCAGGGGATCAGAACTTGGGCGAAGCAGGTAAGACGTCTCTTACGACATTGAGGATATTCTTGAAGAGTTCTTACTCTGTTCATGTCCTCCTCAAGGGCATGGCGTACTTAGTTCACTTTGTAAAGGTTTTTACAAAATAAGAAAACTGAATGAACAACACGATTAGCTGTACAAATTAAGAAAAAACAGAGTGAAGGTGAAGTCCATTTCAGAGAGGACTAAATATTCTTTTTTAAGAATGGATGAAGTCACGACTTATAGTCCATCCTCACAGACATGGCATGAACCTCGAGTAGCATCTCTTCATTCAGATGTGGTAGGAAGAGATAATCAGAAAAGTGTCTTTACTAAGGTAGTGTTTGATAGGCATCAAATTCCATTTTCCCCTTTTGGTAGTGTTTGATGGACAACATTTTGCCACCCAAATGATTTCCTCCTTTGAACCCACGCGCCTGGTTTTCCACCCAAACGATGAAAGTGTTTTCCCACCTTTTTGGTGGGAAAGCTGAATTCCAGGTTCTGGAATTTTTTTTNTTTTTTTTCGTTTTTTTTTTTTACTTTTTGGAAATAGAAACAAATTTTATAACTAATTGTAGAAATAATTATCACTTTAATGGACAATTTCCATATAAAACAAAGTCAAACGAACACAAAATTTAAAAATTTTCCAGGTGGAAAATTATACCAATCAAACACACTTAACTAACAATTCCCTGCAAAACATTTTCTAGGCAATTATTTTCCCTGAAATTTATTTTCTTTCCACCCATTTTCCACCATTGCAATCAAACGGACCCTAAATGTCTGGTGGAGGGGGGAAAACAGTTTACTGCTATCTTTGTTGTGGGAATAGGTGGTTTAGGGAAAACGACTTCTGTGAAAAAAGTTTTTGATAGAACTCCCATAAGAAAATGCTTCGATTCCCATGTGTGGATAATTTTCATTAACCCGTATAGGTGATTTAGCTGCTTCTGTGGAAACTAATGTTCAGGTCTATCAGCTGCAACCATTACCAGCTGATGAGGCGTGGGCTTTATTTTGTAAGAAAGCATTCCGAGGGTAAGCATGCTGAAGAAGTACGGATGGTTGCCCTTACCAATTGTAGGTAATGGTGCTTTATTGTCAAGGAAGAATGAAGCCCCTAAGGAGTGAAAAAAGGTCAGTGAAAGTCATGCAGCAGAGATGAAAAGTGATTCAGCCCTTGAAAGTGTTAAAAAAAAAATACTTCTGCTTACTTATAATGATTTACCTTATCACCTTAAATATTGTTTCTTATACATGAGTTTTTCCCAGAAGATCATTTGCTCAAAAAAGTGAAGATGGTCCGACTGCAGAAAGCAGAAAGTCTGGTTGAGGAGAAGTAAGGGTTCAAAATGGAACAGATTGCGGTGGACTACTTTAATGAACTTGTCAATAGGAGCATGATTCAAGCAGTTGACAACTTGACATGGATGATTTCAACAGAGTTTAAAGTTGCCGAGTTCATGATCTGATAAGGGAGATCATTCAAACAATTGAAGTCCAGGGAATAATTCTTTCTTACAATACTAAATGAAAAAGGTACGACACTGACAGAAATAGCTCGCAGCTTTTCAATTCATGTCACTGGAGACCATTAATCAAAACAGGAACAAAAGGACAGTTCGATCTTTATTTTTCTTCTCCTCAAGGGATTCTTCAGGCTATTTGAAGCCTGAATTTTTTCATGGTTGTAGATCACCAAGGGTATTAGCTTGGTCCTATTTCTCAATTTCCCACAGGGTTGGTTGATTTGGTCTATTTGACTTAATCAAGTATTGAGGAACACTTAGACCCTTTTGATTGCACTTCAATTCCATGGAAGATGGAAATTAAATTCTATTTTCCACATTTTTACATGTTTGATTGCTCAAATTTTTCATGGAATTTGTTTTCCATTTTTCACTCACATGCTCACATTTTCTTGGTTTTTGAGTTCTAGACAATTTTATTTTTTTTAGCAATGAAAACAAAATCTATCCCCAATTATAACAAACGATATCCATGTAATGGACAATTCCCATAAAAAACAAAGCCATACAAACACCAAAAAATTCAAAATTTTAATATTTTTCAAGTAAAAAATTATATCAATCGAACACAATTAATTGACAATAAATAGTAAAACGAGTTCTAGGCAATTCAATTCCTTGGAATTCATTTTCTTTTCACCCAAATTTCATTTTTGCAATCAAACGGACCCTTAATTAAACCAGCTTCCAGAGTCTATAAAAAACCTAACCTCTGATACTCGTACTCTTCAAAGTAGTTGGACTGCCCATGTCGGACACAGCACGACACGATATGGGTATTTGTCAAATCCTCCAAGTTTCAACCAGACACTTCATCGTTTTTGTTTCTTCTTCGTTCTTTTTCTTCTTTCCCATTCTTTTCCTTTTCTTCTTTCCCACTTTTGCTCTCTATAAACCTAGCTTCGTCGCCGAGAGGGTGGAGAAAGACAGCTACGCTAAGTTTTCCTTTCTTTTTCTTCTTTCTTTCTATTTTTTCTTTTTTTTCCTTCTTTTGCTCTCTCTATATCAATGGTTTAGGGTTTTATTTGTATGAAATGAAAATGGGTTCCATATAGTGCTACTTAGTGCTCCACTAAGTCTAAATTACAATCAAATTCCTCATTTTCTATTTTATATAACAAATAGTAATTCTCATTATTGAAAATTAACCCCCAAAATTATATTTTAATCGTCATAACCACTAATTAAATACTTGACATCCTGGATTAGTAAAAAAATTGAAATTTGAAAGACCTACCCACGTACCCGTGTCCGAAATTTGGACTATTTTTAGTCATGTTCCCATATCTTATATTTTAGAAAATAAAAGATCCGAAAATCAGATACGTACCCGTACCCGATACCCATACCCGAATCCGAGCATCATAGAACCGAACAAACTTAGAAGTAATGGATCTCAAAGGAACACCCATTTCAACCTATTCTTGTGGAATTTTGAAGTCGAAGAATCTTGTTCAGTTAGGATGCTATCACTATCAATTTGGCTCGTCTATATTCTTTGCTGATACATTTGGAGTAAGTTCCAAAGAGAATAGAATATTTGAAATTTTTAAAGAAATTGGGTACCGATGAACTGGACACGGGGAGCGACACGCTGGAGAGCGAGGAAAGACTAAATTACTCGAGTTAACTCTCTATCATCACTTCCACAGTTTCTTCAGCTTCTATATCTCAAGTGGTTTAGTCACCCTGCCTGAGTGAATTTCATCACTTAGCTATCTTGGCAAACTAGTTCTGCAAGATGCACACTTGACTACTGATCTAATCTGGTGGTTCTGGAGCTCCATCTAGCTTATGATGGCGAGGAACTATTCTGTGCTGCTGGGTATCTAAAGCTCAAAAAACTTGGCCTGTATCAGATGGACCAACTGAAGACTGTAAAATTGACAGAAGGAGCAAAGGAAGCTAGACATTTCATGTTGTGATCAAATGGAAGCGATACCTTGTGGCATTGAACATCTGAAGAATCCTCAGGAATTGCTACTGTGGGACATGTCAGATAATTTTTTAAATAGAATAAAGCCTTCCACGGGTGAGGATTTTTGGAGGTGGGGAACATATTTCAAATATCAACCTGTGTATGTGTGGACGGGGCAAAGGAAAAAGTTGACACTATTGCTCGATTCATTTGGAATCAGAAGATTACATGGAAAACCAGAATCTTGGATTTTCATTTTCTTTTATCTGTCAGATGCAATGACACAGTCTTAATGCATTAGATTTGTGAATATGCTAACTGTTTTTTTCTGGTTGCTAACTGATTTATTAGTGTGGATACCAGGTTAGAAAAAATTACGGAGTATTTTTCATGTTTTAGGCATAAATATTTGATTGGTGGAAAAAGAATCCACCGCTATTGTGCATTTATGATGATTACTGTTACATTTGGCATGCAGTTCGGCCAAGAAGAAGATCACAAATGATATCTTGAAATTCTTGCTTACTCTTTCAAATCAAAATTTTTGTATTGTGTAATCATAATTCAATAATGTAATTGTTTTGAATTAAATTATAACTACAGGACATATATGGTTTCAACTGAGTTGATTAGAATTATTGTTGCCACAAGCTAATTTAACATAAGTAGTAGCATTATATCTCAACATAAAATTGCACTACTCACTAACTCAAGACACTTGTTCCATTAAATAATTTTATTTCCACAAGCAAAAATTACCCTTATATGATGAGAAATAGAAAACTTAAACAAAAAATTCACAATAAATCATTCACTGTATTACATATCACGCAAGTAACAAACACTCAAAGTTACAACAGGATATAATCTTGTGTTTATTCAAGGTATTTCATTTCTGCTGAGTAAAATAACTTAATATGCTGACTGAGATGAATGGATAGGTCCTTATCCACTCTCAAACTTTTCTATTAGTCAAGTTATGCTACAAAAAAGAAAGATTTCACATGCATCTTGATATCAATTTTTCTTGTAATGAAAGATAGAGAGCTCGTAAAATGAATTTCCTTCTGATATTAGAAGCCAAAAACTTCTTTCCTGAAGAAAAGCACATACCTATGTTTTATAGCAAGTGAAGAAGATTCGAACTTTGGTTTTATACATTAGGCATTGATTTCCTCATCCTTGGCTGGTAGCAAAGAGACCTTTTCACTTCTTGATTCAGAGCTCCTTGTTACATTGTCATCTACCACCTCGACTTCTTTTGACTTTCCCCACATCACTGAGTAGAACCCGATAACAATTATAATGGAACCTATCAAACTGCAAAAGATTTAAATGATGAGTAAATAAATTTCTGATTGTATACTTGAAGATAATGCATTTACCGCTATACGGGCACGTGATTGAGATGAAAGCTAATGATGATTTTTCATTCAATATAAAAGAAACTCTAAAGAGGACTATCTGAGAGTTTAAATGGTTAAATGGAGGACAAAAAGATTTATTCAAGTTACGTCTTCAACGTATTGTCACACCCCTTCACATGCAAACCAGATTCATTTTTTCATCAAAGTGAGGATATCTGCATAATTTTCAGAAATGGGTGATGGCTAGACTTGAACTTAAGATCTCTGTCTGCTGTGATAGATATCATGTTGAACGATCTTATCTATAGACTATAAGCTTAAGTTGATAGAGAGGGGCCACCTTTATTTATTTAAATTATGTCTTCCACAAAAATCATGCTCCTTACCTTCCAAGATACAGAATGTCTCCCAGTAAGATAATACCCAATGCCGCTGAAATGACAATGCTCAATGGATGAAACACGGAAACAAAAAGAGGGCCCCTTCTATGCAAACACCATGCAGTTACACTGACTTGGAATGCAGAGCCAAAAACTCCCTAAGAAAAGGAATAGTCCAAATAAAATATCTGAAAAGAAATTAGAAACTGGCCAGATAGAAAGTTCTATTGACACGCATAATTTAACATATCAATATTAAGTTTTCTAAGAAGACACACATCCAACATAAGAGAAGGTAAGCCTTATTCAGCCACTTAAGCCCCTTTTCACCCTTCCATTTGCAAAACAATCTCTTTCAAAGGTATAAGAAATGAAGTCTTTTAAACCACATAGAAACTAATGATTCTCAAATGACTGAGGCAAGAAAGAGAGAAACAGAGAACAAATTCAAGTAACTCATTAAACACAGATAGATGGGGTTATGTGAAATGGAAAAATATTAAGTATTCGTTTGGTAAAGATTAAAATCCAATTAAAATTGAAAATATAGCCGTTATTGGGGCTCACTCATCTAATAAAAGGCAACAATAACGGCTAGTTTTTCAATTTTAATCCAATTTTAATCTCTACTGAACACGCTGTTCAAAAATTGAGGACCCAATTCCACACAAATATGGTCAAAGAGAATATTGCAAAATTTCAATGGGTTGAAGACGTATGCTCTATTTTTTTTCCAAATAAAAATCATAAACACATTGTGTGCAACAAGTTCTTCTTATATATGAGTCAATTGTTTCAGACTTCATTACAATATAATTTATGCTATTGTTGTCTTAGAGTCATTAATTTTGATGATTTTTTAGAATTATTTCATTAAATATTATTCATTCTTGTTATCTATATATGTATTAGTTCAATATTTTATTTACATTTTCTTCTTCTTATCATAGCAAATAATGTATCCTCTTTATGTGAATTAGTAATTTTTTTTTTTTTATCATAACTTCAAAAATATTATATCTGGTATTGATATGGAACCTTTCAAGTATTTGGAGTTCTTTTTTCCAACAAATGCTCACCATATTCAAGCTTTCACTATCTCTCTCTTTTCAGATTCATATCTTTATAGAGGCAAGACAATACTCATGAAGTTTCAGAATTTAATCTTTGAATGTTTAAAGTAATGCAATGTTTCAACATTCGGGAGTATTAGGTCTAAAGTGTATTGGCCAGTTCCATGTCCACAATATCATTTAATTGAGTTATACTTAGAGTCGAGTTGTCGGGGGTTGGGAGTGTCTTTGGAAGGAGTTAATGTCAACACAATAAGACCAAGTCACCTAAAAATGCTCGATGTCCATTAGAGGAGCGCTCGAGTGGACGAGTCACCACTCGTCGCCCACTAGACCTTTGCTCAAATACTTCATAATTTGATTATTGAACTTCTTTACTCCACCTTCCACTTGTAAGTCATTCATTGTGACTTGAATAACTTACTCGTTATCCAACAAGCTTAATGCTTCACATTTTCGCTTTGTGTACAAACTCAGGAAGCTCGAAAAAATTCGTCCCCGACCATCTAACTATAACACCTATTTGTTGAATTTAAACACTTAAAAATAGAATTTTATTGATGATTGGATTGCACAATTTTGGACACACACTAATGCCACTCAACACTATAGTATTATTTACCAAACGAAGACAACACTAATACAACTTATTTGCTTTAATTTACTCTCTCAATTATTCTTGCTTTCTCTCTCCTCAATTCTTTCTCACTTCACTAACTCTTTCTCACTCTCTCACTCACGCCTCATACGTATTACAAATATGGAACTAATATTTATACATCTTGTCAGTCGGTGGTCTTCCTTACCCTCGTTGGTGTATATGTAATATGATTTAGCTCCTGTTTGACACACATTAAAATTTTTATTCTTATTTTTCTACTCATTTTCAACCACACATTCTTTAATAAAATAATATTTTCCATCACATCAATAATTTTTTCTTTTTTTTTCAATCACACATTCTCTATCATTCTACTATTACAAAATACATTCTTCCAAAATAATGTGACTCAAACACACTCTTACGCTACTTGTACATCCATGTTTACTACTTGGGTGACAAAATGCAGATGTGGCATTTTTTTAATTGGCTAGTAGACAAAAAACAAAGTTTCACCAGCCAATGAAGAAATGCCACCCAGGCATTCTATCGCCCCATATTGTAAGCTTGGGTGTACATGTAGCATTCCTCGTATAGTAATATATTTATGTCTATATCTAGTTACATTCATACAGGGTGGTGATGACATGATTCCTGAGCAAATGGATTCTTCTAGACATGGATGCATAAGAAAAAAATATGGAAATCAAAATAATGTTGAGTCGGTGATGATTCTTCGTTCTGTAGGTGAAGTTCAACGGGAACATATGCGGTTTGTTGCCGAACATAGAGAACAAATCTCATGTTACAAAAGGAAAAGGAAATCCCTTGTTTTTATCTCCTTTTGATCTACGCACATTTTGTTTGGTGTTCTCTAATATTGGGTTATTTGTGACTTTCACTTCAGAAAAATTCATACAAATTCTCTATTGTCTAATGAATGCTAGAGGCGTATGTTCACATTCCTTAAGGATTCCTAAGTAAGGGTGCAAGTAATTGACACTTAAGCTCCATTTGAAGTAAAAAGATTATTCTGCTTGTCGAGGACCCATGTGGCCATAGACAAACGAGGGCGCCAAGTGGCGTCCCTTATAGGTGGGGGGTCACACCTAGACAAATAGCAGGGTCCAAAATAAAATTAACTAAATAAACATTTACAAATCCCCTAAAACTAAATTATAATCAATTAATAAAAACATCATAAATAGCATTTCCTAGTTATTTACAATCGTGAGATATCCAAAAGTTATTTGAGATTGTTGTAGGTAGAACCCCCTTCTTTAACAGCTTCGATAGCCAAACCACTCCATTTACGAGCATTTCCTCTCATTTCTTTACCTCTATCTCCATCCCCCATGACCAGGGCCGGCCCTGAGAATTAGGAGGCCCTAGGCAACTAATTATTATGAGGCTCTTCAACGTAATCATTTTTTCACAAGTGTAGCAAAATTCAAATATTTAACTAATCATAAGTGGCGTCCCTTATAGGTGGGGGGTCACACCTAGACAAATAGCAGGGTCCAAAATAAAATTAACTAAAACATGAGCATTTCCTAAAACTAAATTACAATCAATTAATAAAGACATCATAAATAGCATATCCAAGTTATTTACTGTCGTGAGATCTCCAAAAGTTTTTTGAGATTGTTGTAGGTAGAATCCCCTTCTTTTAACAGCTTCTATAGCCAAACCTCCCCATTTACGAACATTTCCTCTCATTTCTTTACCTCTATCTCCATCCCCCATGACAATGTCCAAGCATTTCTTGATTTCATCTCTTTCAATAATACTTTCCCCATTTGCTTTTGCTCTCACACCTGTGCCCCAAACCTCATCCACCATCTTCGCATTCTTCGTTTGATCTGCGAACTGTGGGCAGCATATGATTGGTACTCCAGAAACAATACTTTCCAGTGTTGAATTCCATCCACAATGTGTCACAAAACACCCGATACAGCGGTGGCTTAGCACTTCTACTTGAGAACACCATGGCAAAATATTATCCCATCTCCATTCAGACTATTTTCCATCATTTTATGCATTTCCTCTTCTTCGCTGCTTGATGATCTGAGGACCCAAAGAAAAGGCCTCCCACTCTCCACTAATGCATGCAATATCTCTTCTTTTTGCTCTTTCTTTAACACTGCCAAGCTTCTAAATGACGCATAGATCACTGAATGCTCAGGCGTCGAGTCTAACCACTGAAAATAATCATCAGATACACTGAATAAATCGACTCCAAATGATTTGTCTGTTAGGTCACTTCCATCACAGAAAGCTGATGGCATTAAGGGTCCAACTGCAATAACATTCATATTGGCTATAGCTTTAATCGATTCTTGTTCTAATTCTTCAAAGGTATTAACAAGAACAAAGGTTCAGGGATATTGTTCCAGGACCTGCATATGTTCTTGCATCACAGGGATCAAGAAACCACTCGAGGGACTATCCGAAAGGAGAAAGGTGGGTAAGTCACTGGAGGAAAACAATGGCAACGTTGGTACTTTTATTGAAACCGAGGGATCCATTCGGCCATGTATACCTCCTTGGCTATTGAAGAAGCCGTGATAAATGGTAAAAGCGGTTGCACACTGAATAAAAAGAAAAGCAGACGGTACCTGAAGTTCACGCACCACCACAGCCACCCAAGGAAGGAGGATGCTGTACACTAGAAAGGTCACCTATTGGCCCTCGTCCGAAAACTTCTTGATAGGATTCATAAGATTTTGGGAGCCTATGCTCCTCAAGCTCTCAACATAGTTATAAAAATCAATGTGGGATTGATAATCATCATCCTTTTCATTGGAAAAAGAGGCACACGACAATCCCTTGAGGGTTGGAAGAGATTTCATTTGTTTGAGGCCACGGTTTGTGGTGACAAAGGTGACCTTTACACCATTGCGTGCCAGGTTTTTGGCTAGCTGAAGAGAGGGATTGATATGGCTTTGGAAACGGAAAAAGAGGATCAGGAAGTGATGGGAGTTCATTACTCTTGCTCCATGTCCATTCATTCCTTCTTTGGTAATTGCATTTATTAATGGAAAATTCTATTTGTATAACCGAAGTGACAACCTCGGTTGATAACCTCTCACATGTGTGTGGGGTTCGTATGTTTAAAAAATTCAAAAAAAAAAAAGTGGATCCCCAATATAAGTGGTTATCAATCGAGGTTGTACAACTAACATGACTCTTTATTAATGGAGCATAAGACAAAATTTATAAATAGGTGACAAAGTCACGAGTATGTTTTTACAACAATGCTGAATGTACAAAAATTTTGTGCAAGAAGTTGTACAAAATAGTCACATGGATTTGGGGGGGTGGGGGGGGGGATTAAGGAGGTGGGTCCCGAGTGTTGGAGAACAAGATAAAAAGATGTTGACAGATTAAAAAAAAGGAAGACTTGCAGAGAACTCTTTATTAATAAACACTGATAAGTCTACTTAAAACAACTTAGAGTAAGGCTCTTTTATAGGCATAGATGAAGTACAAATATCTAAACTTACTCTGCTAAATGTAAGGAACAATCCTAAAAATACTTAACAACCTAA